CGATCCAATTTTTTTCGGTTTAGATTGGATCGGTTTTTGGTTTTTTGAAAATCTTAAAATTTGTTTCATTGTTATTATGCAAATAACATCTTTTGTATAATAGGCTTTGTAATTTTTATTTTAAATACAAGAGCATAAGTAAACAATAATATAGTTTTTTTTTTTGGGTAAGGAGATATGAAGTTATACTACAAATAAAATTTTGTTGATGAGATATGACTAGGTTTTTCGTTGGGTTTAGTTGATGGGTTAATGTGTCTTGGGTTCAAAAAAATTTGGTCTATGATTGAGGAAAGACCCAAGTAGGTAGAGGAGAATTAATATATTGGATCAGTTTGGATTAGATCGATTTTCATCAATCCATCAAATCCAATTAAAATTTGCGATTTTTTCGGTTCTCGGTTTATTCAGTTATCGATTTTTCAGTTCGGTCACCGCAGTTTGAATCGGTTGATGAACACCCCTAGTTGAGTGGCGTGAGAGGACCCAGCGGCACTGAGTGCCGCGAATCACCCTCCGCGTCACTCACAATTGTTTTTTTTTTCTTCAATTGAGTGATGCCCCCTCCCCTGGGGAACTTATAAGATTGTGCCACGTGACACAATCTCGTTAGTCTTGTTACCCTAAAATTTCGAAAGGCAATGACTTTTGACTCGGGTATCTAAATCAAATATTTTTTTTTATTTGACATAACTTTTTGAGATCTACGCAATGACACTTCATTTGACATATTTTATCTTCCATTAATATAGTTTAAATTTGCAACAATAGTTTCACATTTTTACAAATTCGAACTATGTTTGTGAGAGATAAAATATGTGTAAAGAATCTTGGGATACACCACCCCAAAAGCTAGCTCAAAGGGTGGGAGTGCCCAAGGTCTTATAAACTCCACATTAGTTGCACCTACAACCAATGTGGGACTATATATCTCAACACTCCCCCTCACACAAGAGCCCATTGGGCTTGAAGAGTGGACAATGCAACAGGCCCAGCCTACCTGTGCTAAGAAACGCCACAAGAGAAAGTGGGGGGCGGCGAGGCTCTGATACCATGTAAAGAACCTTGGGATACATCACCCCAAAAGCTAGCTCAAAGGGTGGGAGTGCCCAAGGTCTTATAAACTCCACATTAGTTGCACATACAACCAATGTGGGACTATATATCTTAACAATATGTCAAATGAAATGTCATTACGTAGATCTCGAAACGAAAAGTTATGTGAAATCAAAAAAAAATTATTTGATTTGGATATCCAAGTCAAAAGTCATTGCCTTTCGAAATTTTACTGTGTAACGGGACTAACGAGATTATGCCACATAGCACAATCCTGTGAGTTCCCCAAGGGAGGAGACATCACTCAATTGAAGAAAAAAAAATGTGTGAGTGACGCGGAAGTAATTCGTGGCACTCAGTGTCACTGAATCCCTTTCGCGTCACTCAATAATTCTCATCGATAAATATTGTGAATCGAATATTAAATAAAAAAATTAAAAGGGTAACCCAAATGAGTCAAAGAGCCATATTATAACTGTATATTTTCTATTAATAAATGCTTTTGTTTATCTGCTTAACTGCTTCAAATGATTGTTACGTACCACATAAAAATTCTAACACTAGTACTTATTAAAATTGACAAATTGCTACTCAACCTTTTAGATCCCTAATCGATGTACACGTCAACAGACGCAAGCGCGACGCCATTCACACATCACGTAGAGAGAGTGAATAAGGAGCGTATTAAAAATTTGGTAATCCTGAAACATATTAAAGAATTCCTTGAATAAGGGCTTCTAAAGAGAGAGATATAGGAAAACTACATTTTCATGGTTAATTGGATACAGCTTTGAACCACAATAAGATCAGTGTCAATAACGATCGCAGAAAAAATTGAGAGAGTATGAGAGCTAAGCACTAATAACGACAGAACACACTTCCTTTCACAACCTAATTAATAGAAAAGAAATTAAATATATGGGTTTAAGAAAAGTACGTATTCCTTTAAATGACATAAATTTATATTTATTTAAGAGAGATAGATATAAGGAACACTGATCAACGTGTCACCGTTGACAAAAAAAATATCAAACTGACACGTCAACAATAAATTTTGCCAAAATACCACGTGGCATATTTCGGTATACTGTGTAGTGAAATATGTGTACAAATAATTCGCTACACAGTGTAGCAGAATATGTCACGTCAGAATGCACTGAACAAAAAATGCCACGTGTGTGTAGCAAAATTCGCCGTGTTTGACACTTGACATTTTTGGTTCTGACGTGGCATATATCGCTATACAGTGTAGCGAATTATTTACACACATATTTCGCTACACAGTGTAGCGAAATATGTCACGTGACATTTTGACAAAATTTACGATTGACGTAGCAGTTTGATAATTTTTTTGTCAACAGTGATAAAATAGTCACTGTTCCTAGATATAAAGAGATATATGTTTCACTAAAAAAATAAAAATAAAAATGAGCATCCCATTTTTATATCTATCTCTTTTTTAAAATGATTAAGTTTATGTTCCTACGGGTTTTATAGTCTAAAGTTTGAGCTATGGTTATTCAAGGACGTTAGGTTGGCAGGGAAACAGCCTGGTAATTGTCTATGAACAAGTACCATAAATAGACGCAAACATGTTTTAAGGCACGATGGCGGTGTGGATTTCGATATAGACACTCTCTTTACAACTAAAAAGCAAGTTAGGATGAGTACCCTTCCCCAATCACATGGAGCTCACATGCTCTACATTTAATATAACCGTACTACATTAGTAGACCGAGGATAAGATAAGCTATTAGTGAGTTTTCAATTTTTATACCTTTTTTTTTTGGTGTGTGTGTGTGTTGTTTTTTAAGGTTTTAACACCATTTAATTTGGTGCAGGATTAACACTAATTAAATCTGGCAGCGTTAATGGAATTAGTAAAACAACCAAATTAACAAAACATCATACGCTCAAGATGGTGAAGCTTGAACTAATAAATTGGATACTTCACTGATCAATCAAATCACCCACGTTTGGAGATAAAGGTAGATGCACAGGACACGTTCTTTCCATGTATGTAGTCGAGTCATTTACAATCCTCCAATGTTATGTTACATAATATCAAAAAATTTCTTAGAAATGAATGGCTACAAATTAAAGAGATACACAAAGTCAATAGAGAAGAATTGAAATTCTTGCCTTAATGAAACGCTTTAAGTGGGGTGTTTCTGTCTCAGTATTATCAATTTATCATCTTTTATGAACGGTTTTAATTTCAAGCTTGGTAAATTGATGGAAAAATGACATTGGCTAGAACGTATAGTATATAGCTGATGGGAACGGGAACCCTACTCACAAGCAGAATTAATAGCAATGTATGGTCTTGATTGGACATAACATAAACACTGCACCATTCATTAAGAACCCTACCTGTGCATCACGTTTGTCTATATAATGTGCACTTGTCTGGAGCAAAGAGGGCAGAGCACATGAAATGCCAGAAGCATGGTCCCTTCAAGTAGTCATTGAAAATTGAAAACCAATAACTCCCCGTAGAAATTTGAATGAGTTGAGAAATTATGCCATGGGGTCCTATTGGTATTAGGTTGTGATAAATACCAAGTTACGCAGTAGTTGGTCCATGTATCATGTATGTACTATGTACTACGGGGATGATATAGCTGCTACCCGTGCTTTGATGTTAACCCTTTTGGTGTAACATATTATATGAGTAACCTAAAGCACAGGACCCACTTATAAAAGCAGAGAAATGGTAACCACCGTTTGCTTACTCGGTTTTGTGTTTGAATTTCTCTCTCATTTGGTAGTCACAAACAAATTTTAACCTTATACGTACTACTTAGGCCCCACGTTCTGTGGAGTGACTGAGTGAGATCATTTGTCTGTTGAGATGTACCACCTTCATCTTTTGCTAAGGTATCAAGGGTGAATTATTGTTTCAACAAGCAAGTAGATTTTTTGTGGTTTTTGTCCTTCCTCTATGGTGAAATGCAATCATTACCTTATTTTTCTATTATGCTAGGGTAATGCCAGACATTCTTTTAGGTTTGATTCAGTTAACAATATCGCGATATATCGATTTTAAAAATTATAATTTAATTCTCTCTCTCTCTCTCTCTCTCTCTCTCTCTGGTAGTAAATTGTAATTCAATTCGTGATAGCATTCTTCGATAATAAATATGTATCAAATAAGATCCACTTTGTCTTGGTGGTAGAAAAATTTATTTGCCTCATAAAATTTTTTAAAATAACAAATAGTAGTGAATGAATATTACAGTTTACACTATATAGAGTCATGCACAATTATACTGTGGCTCAGTCTAAGCTTAACAGAATGAAATTTGAGGTAATGAACTCGGACAAAGTAGTTGTGCATGGTTAAAAATGTAAAAACCATAGAGCGAAATTACTCTTTAATTTTTATTTTTTTTAAAGAACCGCAAGGATTTTAATCTTTTTTGGTTTTGGAAACTTAAAGAAGTTATATTCTTCGAATATGATATTCTGTATGTAAATTTTTAGCCAATAAGCTATGCCTGCGTAGCCTTTGTTCGTTTCATGTTAATGAATTTCTCCCCAAGAGGTTTTTTCTTTTCTTTTCTTTCTCCTTTGGGGTTTGTTTTTAGATCCCAAGACCAACAAGATTGAGTTGCCAGAGTTGAGTATGGGCCACAACCCGTTCAATTATATACACACTGATAAATTTGGGCCACCAATCTTATGGACCTCATCCATTTTAGGACATTTAGGTACAGAGGGTAACGATCGTTGAAAAAGAGACAGTTGTATGAATCTACAAAATCTCATGCAAGGGCTGCAAGCCTGCAACCAGAAGTGTAGGTTGAACTAGCAAACTCACCAACTTAAAGTGAACTGCAACATATGCTAAGAAAATAAACCCACTATTTAATTAGGCTTACCATTATCCTAAACAAGACTCAAGATAGTTTCATTATACGGAAAAATTAAATCCTCCCTCAATGCGTATTTGTTTTCAAACTAAACTCCATTAACAAAAGTAGATATGCTTAAAAGGCTAACTAAAGATAAAAAAAAACAAATGCATAAACAAGAAAAAATAAGATCAAGTTCCAAGCGTGACTTCCAATACACATACAATAAATCAATCTATACAGAATCATGACCAGATTAGGAGTCCATGTCATAAAAATTTCGGTTGATTAAAGTGGGACAAACAGCTTCTGAACTTTCTAGGAAAGAATGTTCTCCTATGTAACAACTTTCCACGCTTCCATATCTAGACATTTCCCATTACCTTTACATACTTGGGCCTGCAGTTGCATTTGAGCAACCAACTGCTTCCTGATCAGCTGAGCTTCCATTGAACATCTGCGAAGAATATGTCCCACTTTTCTTCACCTTACCTGGAAATTCCTTGCTTAAATTACCCTTCAAAGAAAGGTTCTTTTTAATGCGATTTCGATTGAGTAGTAACATGGCATTGCGTGAAGGTGCATGCAGAGCCCCTTCTACACAATCACCTACCTGTGCACAGCCCCAAGGTCTTGAGGGTCCATCCTCATAAAATGGTTTATGCCTAGGAAAACCATTCCTCAATCTCAAAAGACCTGGTTGATCAGGGGAAATTTCCTCATCCAATCTCACACATACAGGGCAAGGAGGATCGTTTTTCCGAGTCTTTGATGTTGTCTGCTCCAAACATTCAGCATGAAAAACATGACAACAAGGAAGAACCCCACTTGTAGGCATGTCCCCACTTCTCACAATACGGCGGGAACTCCAAGGTGATCTCTGTGATAGAAATCTTCTACACAAACCGCATTTGAATCCATCTGAAGGAATATGTGAGCGACCAGATGTTTCTAATTCAAATGACTCGGTAACATCTGCAAAATCCTGACCACTGCTGGCACTACTCCAACGCTGTGCATCTCTGAGTGGAATGGAAGTATCAAACTCTGTAAAAGCTGTAACTGCAGAATCAAAGGCTTCCCTGGTAGGAGTCAGGTCAGAAAAGGATACAGGATGAACCGGTTTAGAGATGAAAGAACAGCGATTAGAGAAATTCCTGGGAGAGGATAAATCTGATTTTGTAGTAGACTCAGATTCACTACTTTCTGACTGGGATGACATTGAGCGCCAACTATTGGGATTTTCAGAAGTTCCCTGCACATATTTCATACCTATTAGCCTATTTCATGAGTGAAACACACAGTCAACTAATTTCCAAACAAACACAAATTTTTATTTAATAGTCCTTAACCAAAAACATTACCTCCATAGTAGGTGTAATAGATAGCCGACCCAGAGAAGCATGAGGATCTATCAAAGTACAAATGATAAGGAAGTAGCTCAGTAAGCAGAAGTAACAATCAAAATGTTTATACTGAAAGAATAAACCCCCAAACAAAATTAAGCACAACTACTTTATTGTTATTAATATTGCAATGATTTAACGTAACCATCACCCACTAGCCCTCAACATATATACAGGCATACATTAACAGAAGGATTAAGATCCAAAGTCATGGAATCCAATGATATAATGGGGGGAGGAAAGTTACTAAATATTGATAAAAAAGAAGAAAAGGTTAATGTTATGACATTTGGAGGCAAAATTGGATAACTCAATTATGTACTATGATGCCAGATTTATCAATGTAAGGCTTCCTTGTGTTAGCATCCTACAGAAAACCATTAGGTTCAAGAAATACTAGTTTTGCATTCTACCAGTTTGAAGTAAGCCCAAGCTCTATGAACAAAATGAACAAAAACATCTTTATTCTTCCATTGCTTTCACCTAAACGTTGAAAGCATAATTATAGCAAAAATGTAATGTGTACAGCAAAATTGTTTTAATCAAAACCACCTGGAAAGTTTAGCACATATTTTATTTTCTCTTTTTTCTGAACGGTTTATCCAACGGGACAGAATATAGAAGCAACTTAAATATAGCAAAGACATTGATAAACATGAATCGGTAAGCAATTATTCATATCACTCCTACAGAAAATAAAATAACAACAAATACTTCCTTTGAATAGACTGTAGACAGAATAAGGTCACATGTAAATGGGCACTCCAATAGAAACTTTTGACCTTGTTTGGGTTTTAATTATTCTATCAGGGCATTTAATATAGTACTGAAAAGACTTAGGTAGGCTGTAACATCTCTAGAGATTCAATGTCGTATAAGCATTAAGGCTTCAATACCTCAAGGTATGTATCTCTGAGGGGTATAGTATGTCAATATGAAGGTGCTCAAAGAACCAGTGATATACACCAAAGCTCAAGGAGAGTCACCGCACGTGCTGTCCAAAGAGGGCTGCGAAGAAGGGTTGGTGTGTAGGTTACGGTAGCTCTAAAATCTAATAAAGTAACAACTCATAAAAATGATAGAAATTAGGTGCCTCCTCTATTGGAGAGAAAGGGTTTATATAGGGAAGTGAATATTCCCTAATGATGAGAGAGAGAGAGAAAGTGAGCCAAATCTGTTACCCATTGCCTCCACTATTGCAATGAGGCCATGCCTCACCATCGTGAGTGTACGATTGTGAGCTGTGCAAGAAAAGGGGAAACCCCTTGTGGTGAGGCTGTAATGCTCACCTATGGGGCATCATATAGAAGGGCCTTTTGACATTTGGCCCATAATGCAGGGCCTATTTAGGCCAGCCAAAACAAATACCCTATATGTAATGGTCTTTTACCTAAACAGCAGTTAGTATCTGAAGTCCCTTTTATTTTTAATTATATCAAGCAATCAACCCCGTGTTACAATGCCTTAGCAACTACAAGCAATCAACCCCAATTAATCTTTAGAAAACATACCTTCCTCTTCCTTATAGCATTTATTGACCTAAACCCTAAATCATCTGTCCAGAATCCACAAACTCAAGCGCTCGTTTTTCTTTTTGATTTTATTTTCAAATTCATGTTGTTTTAATAGATTATAGTCCAATGGTTGTGTTGAATGGAGAGGAAACCATAGGAGAATGAATAAATTCCATGCTTTCTTACACTTTGCAATGGTGATTATATAATGAAAGAGGTTCAGTGAACCTAGACAATCCTTTTACACTTTCCTACTTACTTCTTATTCATACAGCAATTTACACTTACACTATTGGTACACAGTACTACGCTGTTTGAGCACGGTATTACACTGTTTCAAGTGCTCTCCCTCAAGGTGGAGCATATAAATTATATGCACCAAGCTTGTTACATATATAACTTATTTGAACACCGCGCAAGACATCCGCAAGTTGATCTTTTGAATTGACAAAATGAGTGACGATATCTCCTGATAACATCTTCTCTCCGAAGAAATGACAATCTACCTCAATGTGTTTGTTTCTTTCATGAAATACTGGATTAGATGAATATGGAGTGCAGTATGGTTAGCACAAACTAGGTCATTTGTGCAACTCCTCTCCAAACTGGAGTTCTCTAAGCAACTGATTTAGCCAAATGAGTTGGCAAATGGTTAAGGCCATGGCTCGATATTTTTTTGGCACTTGATCTTGCGACCACATTTTTTTCCTTTTCCAAGATATCAAATAATTCCCTGTGAATAAATAGTAACTATAGGTGGACCCTCTATCAATAATAAATATAAACCAATTCAATCAACATTTGAATATCAAACAATTTGAGTGTGAACTTTGTCTCTTTTTCCTGGAGCACCTTTGATATGTTCTGAGATGTGAAGCCCAGCATCTTGATGTTCAATACAAGGTGAATTGAAGAATTAACTCACCACACTAAATGCAAATGACATATTAGGATGAGTGACTATAACATAGTTTAGTTCTTGGATCCGAAAATGGCTCCCCTTGATTTGATAGGTGTTTTGCATTTGGATCCATAGGAGTAATTTCTTCAAGGATGTTCATAGGAGGAACACTGACCATTGTGCCACTGTTAGAAGACAAATTTACTTAAATGCCATGCCAAAAAACAATTTTACCAAACTGCCACGAGGGCAAGTTCGCCCAGAGCAGTAGCGAACTTGGTATGCTGATGTGTCAGCTTCCTGGTGGTGTCAGAGTTCGCTTCTGACACAGGCGATCTCGGTTGAAATTAATGCTTCACCTTCCAGGCCACGTGGCTTGCATGCAGCAGAGGTCGCCTGTGTCAGAAGCGAACTCTGACACCATCAGGAAGCTGACACATCAGCATACCAAGTTCGCTATTGCTCTGGGCGAACTTTCCCTCGTGGCAGTTTGGTAAAATTGTTTTTTGGCGTGGCATTTAGGTAAATTTGTCTTGAAACAGTGGCACAATGGTCACTGTTCCTTCCTAGGATATTTCCTCAATAAAATGACAATAACATCCTTGAATTGTGGTACCTCTATTTTTAAGAAGTATAGAAGTCTAATGCACGATTATCAATTGCGCTGCAGTTGCGCACAATCCTCCAACAATAGTGGGTGGAGGACGGTGGCCACTACTAGCCAAGCCACAACGCAACAAGTAGCTGTTGCATCTGGAATTACAACCAAATTGAGGCATTTCGCGGCGCTATTGCACTGCAACAAGGAAATGACATGTGTTTCCATTCTTACCCTTATTTTAAATTTCAATCCGCCATTTATTATGGGCTTCATGGTCTTTTAACCAGGTTTTTATTCTGAAACCCTCAACCTACTCTCTCTTATCACTTTTAACCGTTGGTGGAGAGGTATTTACATGTATGGTATATCCAGATTCTATTCAGCTATACCGCTATAGAGTTTCCAGGGTCGGTCGCAACCAATCACCATCCACGTTTGACAACTATGGTTTAACAAGATTTTTGGTCTAAAAGTAGACAAGATACTAATTTATTTTATTGATGCCTAAAAGTAGACCAAGATACTAATTTATTTTATTGATGCCTTGCTAATTGCTACCGGTGTAACAATGACATCAACATATACAATTAAATAAATATTTCCTTCAGCTGAATGTTGGTAAAAAACAAAGTAGTCAACTTCACTTCTTGTCATACCAAATTGTTGAACAATTACCAAACCAAGCCCTAGGAGATTGTTTAAGACCATACAAAGATTTGTGAAGATGACAAACCATGCCAATAAACTCCCTTAAGCAACAAATCCATGAGGTTGCTCTATATAAACTTTTTTAGTTAGGTCACCATGAAGGAAGACATTCTTGATATTAAGCTAATGAAATTGCAAATGGCGAATACTAGCCACCAAGAGAAAGAGGCGAGCAAAAGTCATTTACATCACTGATGAAAATACGTCTTTATAATCCAAGCCAAAAAACAGCATGTTAGTCTCTAGTCGGACCATAAGGGGATAAATTTTACCATTAGGACCAACCTTAATAGTAAAAATCCACCGGCAACTAACAAAAAACTTGTCCGGAGGAAGAGGTAGTAATTCCCAACTGTCATTGCTCTAAAGTGTAGTCATCTTGTCCATCATAGCATGTCCCCAACCAGGACGGGATAATGCATCACCAACTATCCAACCTCAGCACAAGACATGATCCACCTTGCTATGTTTTCCAGACAAAGAGAGATGATTTGGATGTGTCCCATAGCATTGAATGATTCCTATGCCCTTGTATCCCAGAGTCGCAATGGTGATTGTGGTTGTTCCCACACATCTGGTAATTCTTGGCCTCAATGTGATCATTGCTTCCAATTTGGGCACACTATTAATAAGTGTTAGATTCACCATAGTCGTCCTCTTCGCACAACTAGTGTTGCCCAAACTGCTCAATCTAACACATCGAAAACTGTTCAACCATCCAAGGTCATGTTGCAACATCAACAGACTATGCCAACTTCCTCAAGTGGTTAGAGCAACATCAAGCCTCCACCTCCATTGCCTCTATTGCACATACAAATAATTCTTTTGTTAGTCTCTCTTAGTCGCCACCCCTTGATTCTTGGGTTCTTGATTTGAGTGCCACTGATCATATTTTCGGTAATAAATCACTTTTCTAGTCTCTCGATATCTAGTTATTTTCCTTCCATAACCTTGACTAATGGTTCTAAAACACAGTTCTTAGGGTTTAGTAATGTTCATCCCTTTCCCCCACTTAGTTGATAATGTGTTTTATGTTCCTGGTTCACCATTTAATTTCCTTTCCATTAATTGTTTAACAAGTTCACTTAACTATCTCATATCCTTTACTTAAGATTTCTATCATTTTGTTGGACTAGAGATCAGGGAGGATGATTGGTGCCGAATATGAGTCCAATGGCCTTTGCCAACTTTTCAGCTATTCGCTCTATCATAGATTCTCCCATTAGTGTCTGTTGGGTTTCATTTGCAAGGTATGGGACTTGGAGTCCCACATTGCAACTAATGTGGGGTTTATAAGACCTTGGGCACTCCCACCCTTTGAGCTAGCTTTTGGGATGGTGCGTCCCAAGGTCTCATCAAATGGTATCAGAGCATCCATCATGTGGAGTTGTGCGTGGGGGCACACACTAGGGAAGCGTGGTGGAATGTTGGGTTCCATTTGCAAGGTATGGGACTTGGAGTCCCACATTGGTTGTATGGGCAACTAATGTGGGGTTTATAAGGCCTTGGGCACTCCCACCCTTTGAGCTAACTTTTGGGGTGGTGCATCCCAAGGTCTCATTAGTGTCCATGCTCAGTTCGGTCATCCTAGTCTTGCCAAGGTCTAGAGATTGGTACCACGTTTGTCCAAACTATCATGCAGCATAGATCAGAGGATAAAATGGGACAACAAGCACGGAGGATGGCAGCACATCCTAAAATAAAAGTCCACGCGCCTCCACACGCATTGGAGCTGCAGCTGGACAGCAAGCATGCAGAGGGAAATTGTGGGTTCATACAGAGGCCATTGGCCACAAAACCATCGTAGGTAGGCCAGTCTTGAAGAGACAGTCCAGATCCAAGGGTCTTCTCCACTGGCAGATGGCGGTGGAGAGATGGCCAGAAGGATGACACAGCCAGGGAGAACAGAAACTGGAATCAAAACACAATTTCCGGAATAATTGTCATCGATGGGCAGTGCCTCGTCAAGCTCTAGATACCATGTCAAATGGAGAGGAAACAAGAGGAGAACGAATGAATTTTGTATATTTTGTCACACTATGGAGTGGTGATTATAAAATGAAAGGGGTTCAATGAACCTAGACACTACTTTTGCACTTTCCTACTTACTTCCTATTAATACATTACACTTTTAACTATTGGTACATAGTACTTCACACTGTTGGAACACAGTACTACAGTTTTTGAGCATAGTATTACCCTGTTTCCAACAGATTGTTTTACATTTTTACCATTCAAATGATGAAAAGCCAATCTTATTGCTCAAGCACTATAGGCAGAAGGGTATCCATAAGCAGGAACAATTACTTGCATCACCCTCAATAATAAATTGCTCGCTTGCTTCCTACCCCCTGTTTGAAACTCCAGTTTTTCTATATAATAAAATAAGCATGAAAGCAAAACGTGCAAAATGTTTCAAGGGAAAAAAAGAAGATAGAATAAGTCCACCATATAGACTTTAAAGAATACATAAAGTTATATCTCAGCCATAAAAGCCTAAAAGTGGTATATAAATTTCAACAAACATACTATTTTAAAAATTCAGATTTGACGATTTACCTTTCCTAATTGCAGTTTCATAATCATCAATACTTATTTCCTGTATTGCTGGAGGAGTCCACTGAGGACCCTGAGAAAGGTCAGATGGACTGCTAAGGAAAAGCCCAGTACCATCTGAAGCAGAATAGTGAATATCATATAGGTTGTTGCCTCTGACCCAGCCCCTACTATCCTTACCATTTGATGACGTAGAAGACCCATAGAGTTGAATGCCATCATTTAAACTATACGGCAGCCCTTCAGTCTGGAATCTGAAATCCCATCTCGGTGGAGGTGGTGAATAACTTGAATTCGTTCGCCAGTAAGGCTCATTTGGACCCATGGACCAGTCCCTACTGCCTGCATTTGATCCATGTGGCCTTGAAGCCACACAACAAAGCGACCCCGTTTTAGCTATTTTTTCAGAATGACACAATAAACCAAACTCCAAATGCTTCCAATCCAACCTATTTTAGTTACTAATTAAGTCAGTAATCTCAAGCTCAAGATGAATACTTCCAAAACATGCCACAATTCCTAACGCTGAAATCCACTGGTTTACATCTAATAATCCAACATTCAATAAATTCGACTTTCAAACCCACATGTCTAATGGAAGACTATATTCCACCTGCAACACGAGCTCCATCATGAAAATCCTACAATCAGAAGAAGAGAAATGAATGGCATTCAACATCTAAATAAAATAGAGGGAGCATCGCTATTCCAACCACACACACACACACCCTAACAAACAAAAGTACAATACAGTACACAAGTAAAGCTATTTTCAGTGCTCACCTTAAGCCGAAAACATCAAAATTAGTTACAAAATGTAATAAATTTAAAAAGTGACATCTATTACATTGAAACATTCCTATTTCGACCAATATTAAAAAAGTGAAAGTTAAATATGATGACTAAAGCCAAAACCAAACATAGTAGTGAACACTTCACATTCACACAACAAGAACAAGACTAACTGTTATAACAGCACAGAAACCGCAATTTATAAAAAATAAATGAAATATTATTACTATTATTATTTTACCAAATATACAGTAAATAAAAACAATTCAGCTACTGACAGAACAAAATAATGAAAGCAATTTTATTGATTCATTCAAACAAAAAAATAGTAAAAACTAGAGGGGGGAAAAAAAAACAAAGCATAGGAAACAAAACATCGTACCACACACGTCGCAGGACAGTGTCGGCATGTTTCGATTTCGCGAGTGGGGAGTGGTGAGCGAAGGAACTGGAGCTCTGAAAACCCTAAGTAACAACATGAACCAAATCGAAGTATGAGAAGGAGCAGTACGGGAAAGCAAAGTGGTTGCACAGCTGGCAACCGCATCTTCTGTTGTGTTGTTCTAATTTTCTTCTATAAACGGTTTGAAGTTTAAACGCGCCGTTTGCACTGGTGCTTTTTTATTTCTATTTTTGTTTTCTTTGCAATAATTTTTGTCAACTGTATATTAAAATGATGAGATATGATATTATGTCTATATTTTTTTATGTCTATTCTGTTTATTTATTTTAAACAGCGCTAGATCAGACACTAAGAGGCGAGAAAAATGATGAAGATTAGTTGATATTATGATCTAATTATGTTAGAAATAAGTAAATACAATAGACATAAAAAAAGGTAGTTACAATATTTTATCTCTAAAATTATTTATAAATTATGTTTTTTTTAAAAAAATTGGCAACGGCATGGTTTTGTTGTTTTAGCATGCGTTGGAAAAGTTTTGTTTTGAATTGTGTGAAATAATTATTGCTTTGATTTTCACAAAACGTTAAAATAAAATTAAAAAAATTAACATAAACACATAATTAATATAAGGGAATTTTTTTTTCTAATTTGACATCCTAAAAAAATAATCTCCTACACATATATGAAAGATAAAGGAGAGAAAATAAGGGGAGGAAGATAAAATTTAAAGCGGATCCCACATCTAATTTATACCTAATGCATAAAATAATTATCTAATGTCACCTATTTTATGAAAGGCCAATAATGTTGATCAATACGTCATACGATGCTTTTAAGGGTTATAGAAGTATTATGTCACGTGACCCTAGCTAATTTTCCTACATAAACAAAAGTGAAGAGAGAGAAAATGATAGAAAAAAAGAGAAAAGAAAAATGGTGGACCCCACGTTTGCATTGTTTGTTCAGGAAAATAGTTTTGGGTTCCTGTTACATGATATTTATATTACCCTACTTTTAATAAGAAAAAATATGAAAATCTACAGGGTCGTTGAGAAAGTATATACGTGTACTTTTTTTTTTTAGAAATATTTCAATCGGTTCATTGCTTCGCAACTAATCCGATTTGAGACGGGTCTAAGATTAAAGCTTTAAACCCCTCCCAAAGGAGGTACTGGGGAGATTCGAACACATGCTCTCACTTCCACCTGCTTAATTTCCATGCGTTAACTGAGCTACCATCATTTGGTTATATGTGTACTTCTGTTATTAGTAAGTTTATTTTGTTCATTTAGATGAAACTGACACGTATTATTTTAAAAAATGATGTTTGGTGTCAATATAGGCTAAAAGCCCTCTTGACTCTTTGCTAAAACTTTAAACTTTACCAAACACACCTTAAGCTTTTTAATTTCTTGTTTTTTTTTAACATGAGCTTCAATTGCCAAATTTAATTATTATAATAATATGGTACTTTCTTTTTTTATTGATAATGTAATAAATTTTATATTAAAAGGTCATTTCGATTTATATTTTTACATATTGCCATACTCTTTTACAAGCCACTGATTTTTCCCCCTACTTATTTCAAGTTATAATCATTTGAGTAAAACGAAAGCCTAGAAGTTCAATAGCATTTTAAGACTTTTAAGTAGTATTAAGCTATTAAGCTTCTTTACATATTACCTAATCTGTACAGTTTTTGCCTCAACTTTAATTTATCTTTCCCCTTTTTCCTTTGAGAAATTTTTGCATATAGCACTTATTTAACTTGAATATTTAATAAATTTTTAACATATAACTAATTCTTATGTAATAAATGTTATATTTACTAATGTAATAATGATGTGTACGAATATTTTATTAGCATACTATATATATATATATATATATATATATATATATATATATATATATATATATATATATATATATATATATCCAAGTTGAGCATTCTACGTTTATGTAAAAATGTCCCTCTTATAATGGGTCTTAGACCTTAACCAGAGCAATGAAAGCCTACATTTCTCAGTTACAATCATGTATTGCTCTCAATCAACTACATTTTGTGAACTAGTGATGATTTCATTTAAATAATTGTTACTTGCACAAGCATTTTATAAACTTCAAAATATATGGTAATGAAATTTGCAAATATCATAACATGTTAGTTGCCCAAAAGATGCCCGTAAAAGCAATATGTATGCAGGTTAATGCCGATTTTGTTGAAGGCATTTCTCCCAGTTTAGAGAATGGATTCTCCAAGCAAAAGGTAAATGGCCATTTCATATGTTCGCTAAACTAAAAATAAAGTAATACAATGCCTGGCAAATTGAATACCAACCGACATATTTATTATAATTAGCACAAAATGAAAAAGAACCTTCACCCACCACACCACACCACAGAGTCCAATGCATGGGTCAAACGACTCAAACCACTACATAACCCCGTTAGCTGGTTAATCGAAGAACCTCACATTAAATATATCTATAGATTTATAGGTGTAGAATTAAAAATGATTAAATAAAAATCTATCTCAATACACTAGTGCCCATTTCATCATTACATGATTAGTGGAGGTGGATGTTGACTTATGACCGTCTCTCATTTGGATATCAAGAATTTATATTTCACCGCACACGGAACACGGAATATGACATGATATTTTGATATATTAATTTTAAAAAATATTTAATTTTAACGCATTATGACATATTTTGATAATATATAATATTTTTAATTTATATAGTGTATATTATATTTAGTATTCAATAATTTAATAAAAAAATAAAGTTAAACTTATAGTACTCATCACTTTTGCAAAAAAAATAAGATATTTCAAATATTTATATTAAATTTAATAAAATCATAACCGTAATCTAACAAATCTAATAATTAAAACTCAAAATACAACGCAATATAACCTTTAAATTTTTTTTTAGTCTTTGCAATGAATATTGGAATGTTGGTGTTTCGTAACCAAGAATCTTAAGTGAAAATTGTTGGAAACAACAATAATACAGGCCTAGTCAAAGCTCCTGCAAGTGATTATTTGAAAATAACTTTTACAACAATGCAAGTCTCGGAACAGATAACGTTGAAAATAACCTCCTTACATGGAAGGGTATGACTGTATATAATAAACCCTTACCCCATCTTCCTAAATAGGAAAACTTTGTGCACCGGAATTTCCCCTTGCCCTTTTAACGTTTACAACACTTGTATAGATGAAAACGGAGTGCAACAAGAGACACGGATCATAACAAAGGGAAAGCCTACACGTGATACAGCAAAGCAAACCAACCCTCCAGAATATATAGAACTCGAATAAAAACAAAGGGTGCAACAACAAAATCTTACATGCAAAATAGTATGTAATTGAATATTACACAAGGTCTCGTTTAGTCACATTCACATCAAGTTCAAGGAGATTATACAATAAAGTTCTCCTGTTTATTTGTTTTTTAACTTCAATTATATGCTTGATCATTTACAAGCATGCCCCCGTAAGAAGTTACCAATAGTAGTAGAAGCTTCCAAGTATATAAAGAGGGTCCTATACATGTTTATATGATGATACACCATCATAAACTTCAAAGAATGGATAGCCTGTCCAACTCAACCATTTGGCAATACAAGTGATCAATGCATGTTGAACTTGATGATGATTTGGTGAGGACATATACGTGAACAGATATTTGAACACAGCAGAGCCTCAAAGTCAGAACAAGTCTTTTGGGTTCAAACCTGCCCTCTATTGAAAGTACCTGAAAATGGCTACAATCCTTTTCATGCAACCTAGCAAGAAGCAATCAAAGACATGATTCTACTTGTGAGCTATTCCATATGCATGGGGGTTTATAAATGCAGCATTAGACAAGAATGCCATGTTAAGCTCAACGCTAGAAAATCCAGCTCTAGATATATTGTTTCCCGTTTCCCTAGAAAGGTGACACCCATCTGCAATTGTCTGTTGCAGAGGATCAAGAACTCTCTGTACAAATTTGAGAAATGTTCCATCTGCATCTCCATAAAAAACAAAATAAAAAAATCAAGCTATTTGTATGATTCTTGGTTTCCATTTCAATAGTGAATTGAAAAGTTTCTTTTTTTACACCTTTTGCAGCTACATGTTCGACAAACACATATAGTCCACCAGGTCGAAGTACCCTCCTCACTTCTGCATACAAAGTGCAAATGATTTAGACGACAAACTTGAATTTCAAAGTGCCACACAATGTAATATATATATATATATATATATATATATATATATATATATATATATATATATATATATATATAAGAAACTACCATCCTAAAAAGAGAGGCACATATGAAGTCTATTTATATGTATGTCCTCTTATATTGGTTACTACATTTTTTATTGTTTAAATTCAAACTCAAAGCAGCATGATACACAGGTGTAATGTACATATTAATAGATTAGAAAATTGTAAGAGTAGATGAGAGCGATGTTCCAAACCCATGGTTGCTCATTCTAAAGTCTGATTTTTCTGTTTTGTATTTTGTGGAGATATTATATCATGACTGTTATATTATGTAATTAAGGTTTCCAAATATAAAACCATTACTGATTTTTCACCTAACAGCTTAAACTTTTAGGATAGTTGACTCATGAGATAGTATCTGAGTCTCTACAACCAAGTGGTCTAGAGTTTAATCCTTTCCATCTCCATTCTTTTAATAAAAAGTTGAATTTCAACACAAAATAGGTAGGGTCTGCGCATTGTTTATACTTCAATCCCAAAGAACTCTTGAAGGAGGGGCATGTTAGATGTTAGAGATTTCAATATAAAATCATTCATGCATATTCACCTAATAGATTAAGCTTTTGTCCAAATTTCTGACCAAATTTTAAAACAGTCAACTGCTTCAGGATGGAACAAACTAAATTGCAGCCAAAGAAGTATAATAATTACACAAGCTAGTTGAGATGCACACAGACAAGTACAAGATTGTAAACTAATATCCACAATAACAGATTCAGTAAATGCTCCTCAATGGTCGTAAGGTCCTCTTTGCACCAAATCCCAAGAGAAGCCAAAATATTTGAACAAAAACAGAAAGCTCTAGAAGTTTCATTACCTTTCAGCGTCATATCAACATCTTTAACAGAACACAATACAAGCGTTCCAACAACTGCGTCAACAGAAGCATCACTTAATGGTATAGCCTCCCCAACCTAAATACAGCCAACTTTAAAATTTGAAGATCAATTAACACAAGCACAAGCTCAAAAAAACAAAAATCAAATTGAATAAAACAATAATATAGAGGAACATGATACTTCTAAAAGAAGGATCTATAAGACAAACTCCTGCTTCCGAAAATGAGAATGATTTCAAGATCAATTGGTAACGTAAATATTCTATTGATTATTATACTAGGCTAAGGAAATTTCAATATTTTGATACCAAATATTGACAATATATCATCCACATTTAGCATTGTAACTCTATAGCTCCCAATCACCACAAGCATTGAGACCATCTATAAACATGTTGCTTTGTACTGTGTACTACTAACTAAAGGTCTTGATTGGAATAACATCTAATGATCATATAGACCATGACTTATCTATAGCATGGTTGGTATCAGATGTGACTAAGTGGTCATGAGTTCAATCCTCACCGCCCCCTGTTCTATTAGTAAATAATTAAATATTATAGAGTTTATTCGCATAGATAGGAGGGGCTTGTGCATTATCCACCTTCAAGTCCAATGGGCTCTTATGTGAGGAGGCATGTCAGAGAAATACAAAATCATTAATTGGCCTTCAACCCTTCACCTAACAGTTTAAATTTTTGAGTTGAATTGGTTCTTTATAAGAGTTAAAACTAGTAAGAAGAACATCATACATACAGCTTGTATAAAATCAAAATTGGAAAGTGGCAATCCAGCTGATGCAGCAGAGTACCGAGCAAACTTTTCCATCTTCGGGTTTGGATCAATGCCAACAACCTTTACATCAGAATCACTAGCATAATAACTGAGGTTAGGACCTGTTCCAATACCAATCTCCAATATTTTAAGAGCCTTCCCTTTCAAATTACTGAAGATTTGTGACTTGTACCGTGCAACCTTAAAAGGAAACATCAATTCAATGCAATAACAACAAAAAAACACAACATTATCCAAAAAAAGGAAGAACTTAAAATAATCACCATATTAGTGAAGAATGAACAAAGTACCTCAGCTTCATAAGACTTAGTAGCTGAATTCATAACCGAAGCATAGAACTCCTCGTACCATTCAGGTCTGGGTGGGTGAAACTTGTTAAGCAAAGTCTACAAAAAAAAAAGAGAGGAACTTTTCCCTGTTATGTCATAAAAAAACATCATTTTTGGCCAGAATTTGAACTCAAAGTGCAAGCTTTTCCCGTTTCTGTTATATGGGTCAGTGGCAGAGAAGGCATTACTGTGTAATCAGAATTGGAATTGGTAGCTGAGGAGGGTTGAATTGGGAACAGTGTAGTTCCCAGCGACGCAGCTTCAATGAAGTGCCTTCTTCCACAGAAGCATCGTTTGGTGGGTTCCGGCGAGTCAAGGGAGAGAAACTCGGTGGTGAGTTTGTTTGACGCGTCCGAGTTGACTCGTTTCGGGAGCTTACGAGACTTGTGGGTGGTTTCATTGATGGAACAAAGCGAAGCTTTGGGAGTGAAAGATGTTGTTGCAACAAAAGAATTAAGATTCATTTTCGCACTTTGGCAGCAACCAATTGGGCACTCAGTAACCTCATAATATATTGTAAAATTTCGAATTAATTGGGTAATCAGTGCATCAATGGAGAAATTAAAAAAAATAAAAATAAAAAATTTAAGGGTTAATATCGCACCTTTTGTATGAAGAAAGCATAATTTTGGCTTTTTAATAAGGGAAGGGTTACTGTTGCTCAGAGCCCATATGATCTTATATTTATTATATTTATATCGACTGATTTAAATAGACTAGAGTTACAAGAGAGTTTTTAAAATGTCAATTGAGGAAAGTACGATAGCCTATGTCGGTTTGATGTTATGTAATTTCGAATGCTAAACAATAGCTACATTATACGTATATTATTTGAAAATGGCTGAATAAAACGTATTGACATATTTTCAGAGCATATTTATCTTATGAATAGACAGTAATCATAATTCGGTATGTTTACACTCCTTGTTTTTTATTTTATTTTATAATATACATGTAACTACTTAATTCAGATTGGAAATAAAATGATGTAAATAAATAACGTTTCATCGTGTAAACCGGGTATGTTAGTTTATTAATCCTAAGCAAGACCTCATTAGATGCGTGCATTTATTTGTAAATAGAAATATATGCTTAATGAAATAAATTGATAAAATGTAGTGGATGCTAAATTTTAAAAAGGAAACAATGCATGAGTACGAATCATAACACAAGTGTGGAGGGGGCATATAAAATGACACTTGTCTTTGAGTAATCCATGTGACATGAAATCCAAGGAAATAATTTGTAATTTATTCTTGATTTTAATATGACTTCGCTGGCTTGTTTAGTCGTTACTCAAATAAAATCACAAAGTGCCTAGACTATAATAATATATGGGATTATATTTTCTTATGAGACATGAGATAAGATATCTCATGTTATACTCACAAATTTATGTAGGTCCCGTTGCACAGAAAAAGAGAAAAAAGAATTTGAAATGGATCCTACGTCTTTTTGAGTGTGTAGAAAAGATGTCTCCTACCACATGAGGCTAATATTTCCAATGATATATATACTGAGGGTCCTTTTTTCTTACGTTGTTGCACAAAAAAATTGTTGCAAATTTTTTTTTTGCACCAGTTATAATTATGTATTCCCGAAAGGGGAAGGTTATATTTACAAACTTTTTGTTTACAAACTCTTACAAATTACGCTATGAACTCCTGGGAGAACACTAGTTACACTATGTTTTTCTGGAAATACATAGTGTAATTTGCAAAAAATTGTAAAAAAACTTATAAAAAGATCCTTCCTTTTCCTGAAAATATATAGTTATAATCTTAAAGTTATTTTCTTTTTCTTTCTTCACAAATTATCTACTGACATGGAAAGAAATTTTTTTTTGCGATTATAACCATGTATTATTGAGAATACATAATTATAATAAGTTGCAGCAATTTTTTTTATTTGCAGGAACATAAAAATTACATTTCCCATATACAGATTACTGTTAAGTTTCATATCCAATCTTATTATAGAGATTATATTTTGTAAGATGTCAAATGTTACAACTGGCACAATCGTGCCTTCACAAATGAATGTAGAGTTCAAAATCTCTCACAGTGCAATGCCGGCACGTCATGAAATCTCATACGAAGAGTATATATCTAATTCATGGTCACAACTGCTTCAAAACTTCCACTCCCAGTTATTAGAACAAGCAACTCTAAACATGTCTGATCATTTGCTTCTAAATTCAGAGAAGAAAAGCACTACTATGTCAAAATGCAATTTATAGCCCAAACCCGTAGCTACTAACGGCAGCTTTGGTCCTGAGCAGTATCACTTTTATCACTGCCAACATCTTCAGCGGTACTCTGATCCTCTGATGACGCATTGCAGCCATCAACTGTCAAAAAAAGAAGGTACCTCAAAACCATGTTGAATTTTAACACGGACCAAAATTTTTTGGAACACAAGAAATGACCCTATCATGTGCACATACCTTCACAATCATCTGCTGGAGCATAAGCTGAGCGCCTTGAACGGGCTTGCTGCTGTGTTGGCTGATTACCACATGGTGTAGTTAGGACCCCATTATGAGGAACAGAAAATACAAAAATGCAATGTCAACAAAATTTATTCAAATTTCAATGACACGCATCGGAACACATTTATTGAAATAGATTATTTATTAGTCATCTAATGGACCAAAGATTACTTTTACAAACATGTCACTATAATGAATTTTAGTTTCCTGTTCGGCCCAAAAGTTTGCAAATATAAGCAAAGGGACTTGGACAATGGTTGCACTAACTTCCATCAAAGTTAATTACGTCAAGCGCACATGAGACATATTCCAAACAACAAAATCCATTCTTCATAATGGTTCTGCAATTTAATCTGGTCTAGTTGGGGGTTTTGAAACCATTGCAAACACTCTTAAAAGACGCAGGGAGGGGTTTACCTCTGTTGGGTAAACCACACCAATAGATAACAAAAAGTCACTAAATATGTTCATATAAACATAGAAAAAGAAAACATCCACAGTACATAATTTTACCTGCAACTTTGGGCGGAGTGCTTCAAGTGGTCCTTTAGGCTTTTGTTCTCCTTGCTATTGGAAAATCATAGAGAAAAGCCAAAGATATCAGGAATCCAAATAAAATGTACTGAAGGTCAATTTGAAAGTTTTCATAATATAAAGATACACAGATGCTTCTGAGGCGGGAAAATACCTTCCCCAAAGCCCAATCAGCAGAATCAAAAAAAGCACGTTCATGATCCTGCAAAAATATTAAAATTATTAATGAAAATAAACCAATTTCGAAAGTAAATTTCACACAAACACACAACGATGAGACGATGGATGAAGAGTAGCATTGAAGAATCAAGATCAGATAAGAGAAGGAAGTAACCTTGGATATTAGGGGAGGCTTCTTTGGCAACATCCCTCCGTACTTTTTCTTGATAGCTTCTTCCTGCAGAAACAGATATATAGGAAATGATGCCACAGCATAATAACAAACAATTTTCATGAGATTTAATGCTAAGAATAACCATCAAACGGTGGTAGCTCAGTTGGTAGCAAGGGAACTGAGTAAGTGGAAAGGAAAGGGTCTCGGTTCGATCCCTGCATGCCACCTTTAGAAGGGGTTTAAATATCTTCATCCTTAACCCGCCCCACATTCCGGATTAGTCTCATAGCTGGCTCAAAGAGTCAAAGCTTGTGGGAATACCAGAGAGAGCCAACTCGCCTCAAAGAAATAATTAGGGTTGGGTTAACTCCAAAAAAAACATGCTAAGAATAACCATAAAATTTGTAACAAATTTTAAGAAACCCTCTACGATGAAGGCAATGTCTTCCAAATGATTAAGAAATTATATCAGTAATATCTAAACCCATTCAAAAACTAAAATTTTCACGTAAAAACGAAATATTAACATCTTGAACTGTACTTTCAACCCAAAACTTTAGGAGGTTTTGGGCGAGAGCCTTTTTAATGGTTTATATTATTCTCTCACACACCCCCTCACGTAAGAGCCCTTTGGACTTGAAACGTGGACATTATATAGGCCCAATTTTTAGTTTACCTTATGTGCTTTTTATTTTTAATTCCACTAGAAAGTGGGCGGCAGTGAGTGAACTTGTGACCTTGTGATCACTGAGTCTCTGATACCATGTTAACAACCACTTCAATTCAAAACCTTAAGTTGTTGGGTGAGTGCTTTTTTAATGGTTTATATTATTCTCTAACATGAACTGAAGCCACAAACTTACAATCTAATTAATTTCCTGTACAAGTAACATAAAGAGAAATTTCCTGTACAAGTAACATAAAGAGAAGTTGATGTGGGGATAAGATTAAAGAATACAACCTAAACACTTTTAATATCAATGAACCATTATGTGCATCAGATCACGCAGCAGATACATACAACTACAAAGTACTGAGATTTTATTCTTCAACTATTGTTATACTTAAAAACTTTAAAGTTCATCTTATTTGAACCCAAGAAGATAAAAAACCTTGTTCGGATGGCACTCCAAATTACCAGAATATATTTTAGGCCATGATGTCATGTTTGGCTGCCAAACCCAAAATTTATTCTGTTCCGTTATTTCTGCCCCAAAGTAATTTAGTTATTTTAGTATCTCCACACCAATTACACAAAATTACTTTGGGGGAACGTCCCCAAACCAAAAACTCATTCTTCCAAAAGTCACTTTTTTTTTTTTTTCAAAAGTAATTCTAACAAAATACATTCTACTCAAGAACATTAGTAATAATAAAATAATAATGATAAAGATAATAATTACCTCCTGGTGGGATGAGGGCATGGGGCTTTCATCATTCTTATCATTATCAGACTCTTTGATATCATCCACGGAATTGTCACAGTCAACTTCATTCTTGGGAGAATCATCAAGAATCTCCTGTTTCTTCACATCCTCAACATTTGCTTGCTCCATTTCCCTGCTCTTAACATCAACCAATTGCAAGGTTGAACAAATGGTTGCATCACAGTCACTAATGGAAAGCAACAATTTTCATCTTCACAAACAGATGCAAAAAAAGAAAGAACAAAAAAAATCATAGATAACCCTGATAATCTTGTTGATTTCAATCTTGATAATATGGATCAATCCCAATCCCAATCTCAATCCAGTATCAAATTAAACTAATAATTTGTATTAAAACCATGAGATTATTGCTAAGCGCTAACGAAGGAACAGGATATCGCATCGTACCGTATCACAAGAGAGCTTTGGATTTGGCGATCTTACTTTGTATTGTTGCGTTGGATTCAGAGAATTTCAAGAAATGAAATGAAGCCCAACTGCCAAACTACGACTCTGTACAAAAGCATCTCCAATTGCGTTGCTGAAACGGGTTTTGTGTGTATATACATAACTACAATAATTTTGATTAAATATTAAGGGAAAGGATATTGTAAAATCAATTATTTTTAGTATCAATATTACTATCAATCAATTTTATCGTTAGATCGATTATATTGATCTTACGGTTATATTTATTTTCATCTTTGTATAGTTATGATTCTCCATATTTAATATTTAATATATGATTTCCCATGTTTAATGTTTTCATATTAAATATGGGGAATCATAACCATACAAAGATAGAAATAAATATAAAATATTAAATATGAGAAATCATAACCATACAAAGATGGAAATAAATATAACCGTTGGATCAATATAATCGAACGGTTATGATTCCTCATATTTAATATTTTATATTTATTTTCACTTTTGTATGGTTATGATTCCCCATATTTAATATTTTATATATATTTTCACATTTGTATGATTATGATTTCTCATATTTAATACTTTCACATTAAATATGGGGAATCATAACCATACAACAATGGAAATAAATACAACCGTTGGATCAACATAATCGATCTAACAGTGAAATTGATTGGTAGTAACATTGCTAGTAACACTAATTAGTTGTTACAATATCCTACCCCAAATATTAATATTGTATTCAATGGGATATGTTATTCTACCTACCATTTTTTCTGCCTACCTTTGTTTACCACCCTTTATACCGTTAGATCAGAATCTCACAGAAGAGAGAAATAAAAAATATAGTTGGGATTTTGATCTAACGGTGTTGAAGGGTGATAGACAGAAAAAATAGTAGATAAAATAACCTATACTATATTCAATTAAGCAAAGATAGTTAATTTGTATTTAATTAATATTAGAAACTGTAATAAAAATAATTTTTGATATTATATTTGTACTGATATTGAAATTGACATAAAACTAATATAATAAATTATTCATTATGTAAAAATGGAAATATGTGGCCTATTCATTAATTGTTTCCAAAAAAAAAAAAGTAGATGTTAATTTTGGTTTTATAAAGGTATACTTAACATGAAGTTAGTCTTTCATTTATTGGCAACATTAACTCGAAGGGATTAATTTGGTACTGGATGAATATATTGTTGGATAAATGGGTTATGAACAAGAAGTTGGAAGAGTCGTGTCTTTTTGTTTTGAACAGTCGTGTCTCTTCGCTTATGAACAGTTGCGCCTTTTCGCTTGTGAATAGTCGTGCCTCTTCGATTCCGAATAGTCATGACTCATTGGCTTCTAACCTTTTATCTCCTATATATACCTATGTCCATCCAAATTAGAATTTTTCTCTGACTCCTTACCAAAATTCTATCAAAATTAATCCTTCCATACTGCCTTGGTGATCAACATTTGTTGTGTCTGTCGTCGGTGTTGTTTCTTCTGGTAGTGCCACCGTCGAAACAGAGGTAACTCGTTCTGTATTTATCCACTAACCTTAGGCACTGTAGAGGGGGCAAAATTGCTTTAAGGATACAATATCTAATACTGGGCTCGAGTTTAATTTTCTACAATTTTTCCTTTCTAGTTTCCTGTGATTGCATTTTGTTTTATGTGTTATTGTGTTTCCACTATATCCCATTACACAGATTTTTACCCTACCAAAATAACATATATGACGTGCAGGTAAATACAAAGTTACTAATTAAGCATGCACAAAAAATATCTTAGTGGAATTAATTTAGGTTTTTTTATGACAATAATGGCAAAAGTGAAATATTTTTTCATGTTGAGTCAAATAATTTGTCAAATTAATATGGTGAGATGAGCATGGAGTTTGCGCATTCAAGTCACGTATAACACTATATACGATTTTTGTAAATGTTAGTACACGCTTGTTACATATAGCACTTTGCAAGATGCGCATCACCCATGTGTGTTAAAGTCGCGCACACCTTCGATACACATCTTGCATAGCGCAACATGTGAGAGATGCGTATAGACTTTTGCACAAGTTCCATGTGAGGTGATGCATGATTTGAACACACACACACCTTTTATATGTGTCTCACCTTACTATTTTGACAAATTATTTATATTTTGAATCAACCAAAAAAATGTTTCCCTTTTGACATTATTATGGTTAAGACTAGAGGGCAATTATACTTACTATCATTTTAGTCTTACTACTTTTAACTGTTGATTTTAAATTGATCCAACGATAATCAATCAGACAATAAGAATAATAAGATTAAAATGATAGTAAGTATAACTTTTTGCGGCCATTAATTTACACCGATGTAATTTTGAAAAGTCTTCCATTTTTTATTATTAGTTGACTCAACTTGTATTTAACTATTATAAAGGAAGTTAAATGAATTATTAATCTCTAAAATATTTTTTAGACGCAAATAAAATTAATGAATAATAATAAGTGGGAGACTTTTAAGACTTATACTATAACCAATAGATATTATTTTTTCAGGATACCAAATTTTTTCCCGATTAATAAAAGTTAATATTTGAGCCATGTGATGTGTTGAGATGCAGGAAACATGAAGTGATTGAGGTCCGAGTTTCAAAGAACAAGAGCTGCTCTTTCTGGTAGTATCAAATTTGGTGCACGAGCATTCTCAGCTAATGACATCCCATACCGTAATCAAATCCACAAAGAGGCCACCCTGTCCCCATTCCATCATGTCACATGGAGTCTCTCTCTGTATGTGTGTGTGTAATGGCCCAAACTCCAAAATGATATCTGTATAGTACTCATCTGATTTGTTTTTTCTTTTCTTTTCATTTCATGTTCATCTTTTCTTTAACAATTTCTGTATAGTTACATGCATCTGCAAAATTCACCATCACCTTCCACTCCTTTGCAATTTGGATCTTTTCGTAAATAATTTATTCCTGAAAAATTCCTTACACAACTTGCATGCTGTGCATGTGATCATGTGTGTTGCTTTCTAACTGACAAGTGATGATCTCACCTCAATCCTTTTTCCCTGTAAGTGATAAGATTTTATTACCAAAATGAAACCAAGAAGCTTGTCATTTTCCGAGAATATCAATTAATTACTAATTTGATTCATGCATTATTTGTACATTATAGTCTGCTGAGGAAACCAATTTTGGATTCTCCTTGTATATCCTTCTCATCCAACGGCAAGCACAATACAAAGCCAGAGTAATGCACACTTTCCTATCCTCTTATACCTTACTCTCTCTTATATGCTACTAGTGGAACACAATAAAATACCTTCACAAGTCACTAGCGAATGCAGCATTCATATGCTGCAAACTAAAGTTCTCAGGCCAATGTGCTTCTTTTCCTTTTCCTCCTCCTCCTCCTCCTCCAAACCTTTACAAATAACTACTTAAATACACTTTCAAAATGCCAATAATTTTCTAATATGCAAGGTCCTGCTTGTGAATAGAAGATTACTTAACAGGAAGTAAGTCCACTTAACAACAACTTCTCTTACTCTTTTGGAGGGGTGTCTCTGGGTTCTCCACTTTTAGCTGTTATTTATTAATTAGTTCTTTAATATTTAGTTTAATATTCCACTTCTTAGAGATGATTAGTAAGTAGTCCATTTTTTACATATTGGATTCATGGTCATGGAGATAATGACAGCGGAGAATAACGACAATCACATTTTTACATTAGACTGGCCAAGCTCGAAATATGTTATACATTGAGTACTTCTCGAACAATGTTCACTTCCTTAGATTCATGTTGTTTTCTTCTCAACCCTTTTCTATTTTTTATTTTCTTCTATATAATTAGCTTGGATGGTTACTTTGACCATAGAATGAATGCTTAACAACTGTTCATTATTTTATTTTTTTTCTTTGATTGAATGTGGTAAGACAAGTGGCCAAAAGTTCTAACAAGAAAGAACAGTGCCTCTTAGTCTAGTTTCTTTCTCTTATGATCTAGGAAAAAGTATGCAATCAGCAAAAGTTTGGCAATAAAAGCATGGATAACATCACTGCTCTTTTCATAATTTTGCTGTTGTTTTCTACCATATCATAGAATCGTTGAACTTTTTAAAAGCAAACCAATCAGTTTCCATCTTTAGCATACTGCACACCGAAGCTTGCCTTCCACGGAGCAAAATATTACATTAAACCCAACCTGGTTTGGATTAGAACCTTGAATAACAACGTAATTCTTCAATGGACCATGAAGTAAAAAAAAATGATTGAGATTTGCATTATTTTCTGTATCAGTTACTAAAAGGAGCCTGGACATTATCTTATGAAGTGCTGTATGATTTTAACATCAGATAAAGAATTATCTGCTAAATCATACATTTCTCCAACATCTCAAAGAACTAGTATTTTCATCAAAATGCTTCTTGTATAATGGCTAATGCATGCAGTATTCAATAGTGTCGTAATCATGAAAACAGATTCATTTTTTTCTTACATAGCCACTACTTACTGTGCCAAGTTTACCTTTTCCATTACAGGAAAACAATGATCTACCACTGATTGGAATGGATTCCGGGTCTTATTCATCTGAGGTCTTGCACGTGAACGTGAGATATGGTACTGCAGCCAAGGATGACTTGCCGAGAAGCTCTTTCTCTAATTTATCTTTCAGTGTTGTCAATTGATAGTGCCATTATAGAGTGCTAATGTAATGTACTAGTCACTAGAGTAGACTATTGTGAAGTGTGGTAAAATCGGCAAGTCGTCTTTGGCTACATGTCTATCTCCTGTTCACATGTAAGATTCAGATGATAATAGCTTTGACAATGATGGAGGGAGCATGTGTGAATGTTCTATGCAAATCTTATTCTAAACGGTAAGTTATTATTCTATACAGCATTTAACGTGTTGTTGCAGGTAATTAATTGATAAAGGTGCATGGTTTCTCTGTTTCCATGAACAAGGATGAAATGTCAGTCAATGAGGTCCATGAGGGAACCTAGCTAGTACTACCAAGAGGAAACTAGTCCAAATTCCTAGACCCTACTTTAGTTTAGCCTTGATGTTTGCAAGTACTCTCTCAAAGTGATTCAATTGGCATAACAATGTC